ACACTTCTCGCGCTTCTCTCTCATGCACATTGAGCTCAAGTCGTCAGACAATTTTTGTTTTTCCTGTATACAAACAGACACAATTTTATAGTTTTCTTGCTGAATACATTAAGTTTACTTAACCAATAGAATATTTTTTGCAGTGGTATACTTTATAACCTGAAATATTGCAAATATATAGTATACTGGGTGACTTCGAAGTTGAGTCATTTATTTTAACAGTGAGTAGATCTGATCAAAAGAAATGTTTTTTCCTTTAACATTTTTGTGGTAAAATTAAAGTAACAAAGTTATAGCCCTTTAGAAGTTTGAGTACCGCCCTGTCTCAATAATAATATTATGTGCTCGTGTTTGGCAACAACGGATATAATCCGCCTTATCGGTTCATCGCATCGGAAACAAAAAAGCGAAAGAATTTGAAAGCTTATCACGATGTTTTTACTACAATTTTATTCAGTTGTATTCAGTCAATGTGTCAGTCGGTAACGCGTGAATGAATAGTGGTGTTTGTTGGGTGGCTCAAACGAAATAAAAAATGGCACATGTTTACGAAAATGCTGAACTTGTGGACATGATTCTTATTTACGGGGGGGAATCTTTTCAAAATGCTGCCGCGGCATCACGGATTTATGCGGATCGGTTTCCCAATCGAGTGCAACCAACCCCTCGTGCCTTTGTTAATGTAGTACAAAGGGCTCGTGAATCAGGTGACTTAAGACCTCACAGGGGAGGGCATGCCGGTGCTCCAAGACTGCACGATCAAATACAGGTCCGCACTGAAATACTTGTCGGGAGGATACTTTATAAAACAAGGTAACATTTTTTTTAATTTTCTTTTTATTCTTACATACATATTTTGGATTATCTTCCTTCTACAATCATTATCTGAAAATTAATGACTCAACTTCAAAGTCACCCTGTATATTCGCATAATCTTCAACAATAATAGCTATGAAAAGTAAAAGTAACAGTATTATCAAAAACTCATAAAGCCAAATAAATGTCTTCATTCTTGAAAATGCATTTATTTTAAACCCTGATAGGAAGAATAATAAGGGCAAGGATGAAAAACAAGATGAAAGTATAAAAATACCAAAATAAGTCCTCCAAATGAAGTCCGATGCCGCTAAATTGAGTGCGAAATTCGCTTGGCAGCACTGATACCATATAACGTACTGCCAGCGGTACGAGCTCGACGCTCTCAGTCACGGCCAGTCGTTCGGATCGTTTGGTGTCGACAGGCGCGTGCAAACCTCCACGAAAGAGCGTGAGGTTCTGCTTCGGAAAAGCTAGTTGTAGCAAAAAAGCGAATTCGTGTTTTTTGGTGATAGTGGAAAGTGAGTAAGTGTCTTTCAGTGGTTCGTGATGGCATTGTGAAAACCTATTCTGGGGAAAACAGAGGATGCCCAGCGTCATATGATAATGGGTAAGTCTTGAATCCTGCTAAACTTCTAGTTGGTTTGCTTGGAAGATAAATGGTGATGCGTGTCGTACAAAGTTGGTACTACAAATTATGGATATCTAGCATATGGAGCGAAAATATTTCAACGTTTTTAAAAAATTGATTTGTTTTATAGATTCTACGTATCATTTACTTATGTACATAAACTGTGAGTTGTGAGTCTATACGAAATTTGTCTATATTGCATTGCGGTGAATCAATCATTATTATTAATTCATAACTTTTTGATTCATTGCTAAGTTGAGAAAACCAATCAGTGTATAAGTTTTCAATTTGCTATAACATTTTGATGTTTTTCAAGTTTCGTATACTCACTTTTTATGATAGTTATCTGTCCTTATTTTTATATAAAATGAAATAACAGGAACAAACTTGAGTACGACGGTAGCTTCAAATTTATTATTTTTCTAGCCAGATCTTTCAGAAACTGAACGGGGACGGCCAAATTTTGTAGAAATATTTTAATGATCTCTAATTTTCACGTGATTAGTGTTTTTCTAATTTTACGAATTTGATTTCTTTGGAAAATGAAATAATATTAGAAATTATCAAGTTTCCCATGGGAGCCCTTGTAAGTGTTTTTATTCAAACTTACGAAATTTTGTCCAAAAGCTGGTAATATTTTTAATTATCATATACAGGGTGCTTCAGTTTATTGTTGCATAACTTTAAAATTCGATAGAACTTTTAAAATTAATGCATAAAGTCTATATAAACATGGGTCGAAAAATGCGTGGCTTCCGAAATACAGGGTGTTTAAATTTACTTTCTAAAATAGTTTTTTTTAAATATTTCTAACAATACTTGATGTATAACAGTGAAAATTGGTATACAAGGGTTTTTTTGTACGACAAAATGAACCATGGGCATAGTTTTACTGTAGCCGCTAGAGGGCGCTCTCTACTGTACCTGTAGTGTATTAAAATGACCGAAAAATTTTTCTGACTGATTCTTCGCACTTTTCAACATAAAAAGCTCTCTTGTGAATTTTCGTTATAATTAGCCGTTTTTTGAGATATTTCGATTTTTAAGGTTCGATGCATTTTTAATTATTTATGGGAAAATAATATTTTCTTTACATTTTCGATTTGGGCGTTACAAGTAATTAAGATGATCGTTTAGATTGTGTTTTTAAACACAGCAATAATTCCTAACTCCAAATAAACACAAAAAAACAGAATATTAATTTCTTTAATTTTCCAATATTATTTTTAACAAATTAAGTTAATTATTTACAACTAAAATACTATTGGATAGTTAGGACAAACATACAAAATCTAAAGTAGTTGCTCGAAATGTAAACCCAATTGTTCAATACACAATTCACATCTACGAATGATCGAACGTGGTATAGCATTATTCAAATAAGGCCTTATTTCATCACATGCATTCCTGATTCTGTCTATTAGCATATCTCTTGTGGTTACGGGAGTCTGGTACACTTTTTCTCTTAGAAATCCCCACACAAAGAAATCTAATGGATTTAGGTCAGGGGATCGTGGAGGCCAGGCGACTGGTCCTCGACGGCCGATCCATCTTTCTGGATAATTTTCGTCCAGCCAGTTTCTAACTATTCTCGAATAATGAGCTGGACAACCATCAAGCTGGAACCAGGCCAATCTTCTTAAATTTAACATAACATCATCCCACATATTTGCATGTTCAGCCTTTAAAAATTCCAAGAAGGTCGCAGCATTTAACCTTGCAGGAAAAAGGTAGGGTCCAAATAGTCGATTACGGTAGATACCAATCCACACGTTCACACTAAATTCATGCTGAAAAATTCTTTCCCGAACTGCATGCGGATTTTCATGCGACCAAATATGTTGATTATGAAAATTTACCACTCCACGTCTAGTGAAGCATGACTCATCGGTCCATAAAACGTTACTTAAAAACTCCCTATTATCAGTTCTATCAAGAATCCACTGACAAAATGTGATTCTTCGTTCTCCGTCCCCTGGCTGTAGTCCTTGCACAGGTTGCAAATGGTAAGGACGTCTATGGTCATTTTTGGGAATACGGTGAACATGGCTTGCTGAAATTCCCAAGGCACCAGAAACTCTCCTAACACTTTTGGTCGGATCTCTATCAAACTCACGCAGAATCATACGGGTAAATCTGCGCTGACGAACATTTATGTTTTGATCGCTTTGGAGATTTCCAAAACCATTTTCAATTATTTGGCGATGCACTCTTACAAATACTGAGCGAGTTGGATGTCGTCTGTTTGGAAATCTTCGTGCGTATTCTCTGGCTGCTTCTGCTGCGTTTCCATTTACAAAGCCATACACAAAATGAATATCCGCTAGCTCTTGATTGGAGAATAAAAATGGCATTTTTATAAAACTTACAAAAAAAAAACAGGAAAAAGAAACTAAATTTCGTGCATTCACAATTGCAAAAAAACGTTTCAGGTTTCAACAGACAACAAAACTAACTGTCAACTAATTGACGTTTACCTTATTCTGCTTTCAATTTCAAAAGTATTTGCAGGCACAGCCTACTTCTAAAAATTATCGAGATACTGACTTTTTAACGTTATTTTATGATAAATAATTAAAAATGCATCGAACCTTAAAAATCGAAATATCTCAAAAACGGCTAACTATAACGAAAATTCACAAGAGAGCTTTTTATGTTGAAAAGTGCGAAGAATCAGTCAGAAAAAAATGTCGGTCATTTTAATACACTACAGGTACAGCAGAGAGCGCCCTCTAGCGGCTACAGTAAAACAATGCCCATCGTTCGTTTTGTCGTACCAAAAAACCCTTGTATACCAATTTTCACTGTTATACATCAAATATTGTTCGAAATATTTAAAAAAAACTATTTTAGAAAGTAAATTTAAACACCCTGTATTTCGGAAGCCACCCATTTTTCGACCTATGTTTATATACACTTTATGCATTAATTTTAAAAGTTCTATCGGATCTTAAAGTTATGCAATAATAAACTTAAACACCCTGTAGAACTCGACTGATGTCAAAGATTGAACGTGTATAATGATTCCAGGAGTTTTGATTTCCTTGTTTCACTGGAATGACTTGCATATATAGAATTTAAACTAACATTTTCTAAGTATGTATATACAATAAGTTGAGAAATAGCAGTGACAAATTCTTATAATAGATGGCTCTGCAGTATTTAATTTTATCTCGGATAACTTCTTGGACGGGATCATAGGATCGGTTGGTTATCTTCAAGTAAACTTCGTTAATTAATGACAGTGCTTAATAGCAGCAAAAATAAGAAATATATCAAATATTGCGGAAAAAGGAGAAACATTGTCAATTCATTATATTTGTGGTGTGAAGAAAGGCACTGAGGTGGCCGAAGCGTCAGTATTTTTTACGTATGTGATTTCATTATTTAATGGCTAGTGAATCATAGAAATCGGGCAGACTTTATAGCAGCTAAATTGACTCCGAAAGTATTAATGTCATTATTAACTGGACTATATTATATTCACGGACAGGTTCCGCCTCGAGCAACGAGAATCCAAGTTTACTGATGGCAATGTGGCTGAAAGGTGTCAAGTATGACAGCGCTTCAAGCTTGTTTACCATATGGCTTTCCAGCTGATTGTCAGTACACAAATTTGTAGTTTAACACAGTTCTAAATATTTTTAACTGAAATGGATAAAGGTATTAGAACTCTGGGAGATGGTATGGACAATGCCGTTTTGCATGCACCATTGACTGAAACACTGGAATCTGTAGGCAGCTTGATATTAGATAAAACCAAAGTAAACCACATTTTAAATGGCCTAAAGCCAATCGAGGGTAAGAAATTGTACAAATTAGTGCCTAAATATACCCCAAAGGAGAAAAAAGCCACGAAGTACCTTTTCAAGAAGCCCAAAGATCCGAAATTTGTTCCTTACGAACCATACAAGGCAGCTGTAATACCCATTGTAACTAATGAATTTCCAAATAAGGGAAATCTGAAAGAGCAGAAACTGTCAAAGAACAATATTGCCATTCATCAACTGGCTCATCAGTTAACCGAAATGAGGAGAGCTGAAATGGAAAAATTGGAAGAGATCATTGAACCAGAAGGTCAGTAGGAATAATATTGTGTACAGAAAAAACCTGTTTGAGGAGCTAAGTTTTGACACATGTTTTCATCTAATATAGGAGCAATGAAACTAAAACAGCAGTGGGATAGAGAACGAGAAAACTATGAGACCGACATCAAGAACTTGCGTGAGACAAATACTCACTTAGAGAACCAGCTAAAGTTCCAGGCACAGGTTAACAGTGAACTCAAAACACTATTAGTAGCAGCTGTAGGCGAAGACCTTGAAACTAGAGTACAACATTTGACAGAAGATAAGCTGTCATTGGCAAGGGCGTTACTCAATTCTGCCAATCACCTTACATCACATCAAGAGCAGACTGAGTGGTTATCTGGGCAGTGTGAGGTGTGGAAGAGCAAGTTCTTAGCATCAAGGTTTGAAAACGGTTTAAGAATTTTTATAGATATACACTGAAATCTCCTTTGAACGGACAACAATGGGCCTGACTGAAAGTGTCTGTATATAAATGTTTTTAAAATAAACTTTAAACTTGAGAAAAAAGGTAGGTTGCCTTTAGATATATACAAAGTATGTACGTACATATGTATAATATAATATATGTATGTACATATGTACAGTAATGGACAAAAGTATATAGACAAATTAATCTTCTGCTATATTTCTGTTTTTAACTTGTTTTATTCATACACCAACCTGTATACATAATTCGTTATAGCATAATACTCACTTATACATTAATAAATTCATTAGGATCCCTTCAATAAAAAATTAATTGAAAAAACAACTGGAACTATGAAGGACAAAAATATATAGACAAAGCAAAACAATTATAGATAAAAGAAGCAAAAGTTCATTGAATTATAGAAAACCAACTATGTTTGTGTTAATATTTTGTAGCATAACCATTATTATCAGTCACCACCTGGCATTGTCACAGCATAGGTTGTAGAAATTTCTTGATATAAGATTCATCAATCTGTCTCTACTTTTGCTCTAAAGCGGCAAAAAGTTCATCCTTGTTTGAATGAGTTTGATCTCATATTTGCTTATCTAAGTATTCCCATAGATTTTCAATGGAGTTTATATCGGGAGACTGTTAAGGCCATTTGAGAACTGGTATTTTTTCATCCAGAAAGAATTTCTTTGCGAGATTTGAAGTGTGCTTCGGGTCATTATCTTGCTGGAAGATTGATCTTAAGGGCATATTGTCTTCCATATAGGGTAATATGACATGCTTTACTATGTCTGTGTATACAAACTTATCCACAATGACATCTATTCTATATAAAGGTCCCATCCCAAACCCCGGAAAGCACCTCCAAACCATAACAGACCCGCCTTCATGTTTGACAGTGGGCAAAGTGTACTTGGGGTTCAATCTTTGTCCACTAGGACGTCTAACGTAATGAACACAATCTGGTCCAAACATATTGAACTTGGATTCGTCACTGAAACATACCCTCTTCCAGTTACAGATGCTCCAATCAAGATGCAACCATGCAAATTGTAGTCGGTCCTTACGGTTTTTCCTCGAGATTCGCGGCTTCTTTCTCGGGCGACGTGCAAATAACTTCAAATCATTTAATCTTTTACTTACAGTTTTTGTAGAAACACTGACAATTCCTTTTGTCTCGATTTCGCATTTATTTGTCTTGGGGTTTTAAACGGGTGTTTGGACGAAGTTACTTTCATTAATCTAACTGATCTAGCATTTAGTTTTCTAGGCTGACCACTTCTCTTAGAGGTTTTCAAGATACCTTTTTGTTTATATTTGTTCGATATTGCCCTAAATGCTTTATGCTTCAAATTTTTGGCAATTTCGACTTAACGTTGACCATCCTTGTATAACTCGATCCAAAGAAATTTCTGGACCACGCGGCATGGTCTTAAAATCACTCAACTTATTCCACAATACTTGATGAACACAAACTAATCCTCTTCTGGCACGAAACTGTTCTAAACTAATGTTGAAAAGAATTTGTTTACATATTTTTGTCCCTCATAAAAAAGTGCTTATATTCAGACTTGTATTGTGCTCATTGCAGATAATGTAAAAACAAGGAATTTAGTTTTTCTACTAACAACGCATTTATTTATGGAGCAATGAAGTATGAATTCGTTTTCTAAAGCTATTTAGGTAAATATTCATATTTGTCTATATACTTTTGTCGATTACTGTTTATACATACATATATGTAGTAACACAAAACAATGAAATAAAAAGTCTCTTTAAAATAGCGTCTTGAAATCATATTTCTAATTTAGAAAGAAGCTGCAAAGACTGTATCTCCCTGATATTAGACAAAACTTTTGAGCTGCTTGGTCAGGTTAATAGCTTCACTATAATTTGGAATAGCTTATTGTTGAGGGTATATACGTTAAGTGGTAAGCTATTTTCTGGGTCAGATGTATCAGCCTCATTTGACTGATCTTCACTTTGCATGTTTTCATGCTTAAATCCTGCTTTACAGAAGCAATTTTTCACTGTTTCTTTGGTTACTTGGTCCCAAGTCTTTTTTGTCAAATAGGCTGCATCCAAGGACGTAATTTTCTTCATTCACTCAAAAGCTGTACCAGCAGTTTTAATGTTTACTAGCAGGTGTTGGAGTATTGGACTTCAGTAATGAGTTACAAAAGTCTGTATAATCCTTTAGTCAAGTGGTTGACAAGCTGATGTACAATTATGTTTTGTATTATTTAAGTGAATGTCTTTTGAAGAGATCCCGCATTGTCTAAAAATAACAAAATGTTGCTTTTTTCTTTAGTCATTTCCACTTAGGTTTTGCAACCATTCTGTCATAATTTGTCTTGTCATCCAAGCTTTCTTATTGCACGTCCAAGTTACAGGCAGGTTATTTATGTTAACGTTTTTAAAAGCTTTTGGTTTAGCTGCCTTCCCAATGACTAGGAGTCTTTATTTTTCACCCGCCATATTTACATAGTGCAAAATTGTAAACCTCTATTTTGGATACTTACCTCCAACACATTTTTCCTTCTTTAATGTGAGCGTTTTGTCGGTGAATCTCCGGTTTACTCGAGAAAGTCCCAGCGAAGATGGCGCGCGGCATGATTCAGAAATGCAATAGCGAAACTCTCAACAGCAAAAAAAACAAGGCGTTTCTTTTTATTTTGTTTTTTGTCCGGTTATTATATTTTCTCGTGTCCGCTTCCGTTCAAGAGACAATAATACAAAGGCGGTCAGGGCGATGAGAAACTGTCCGTTTAAAGGAGGTCTCTGTGTAATAGGGGTGTCCGTGAAGGAGAATTTCACTGTAGATAGATTTTTTTGTAATTATTATTTTTCCAAAATGTAGTTTGATGGTGGAGGAGCTTGCAAAATGGAAATCAGCGCTGTCAAACAGATTGAATGAACTGCAAGAACTTTTAAAGATACTTCTAGATGAACGGGGCAAAGTCAGTTCGAACTGCGCCCGAACTTTTGTTAACCTCAAGGCAGTTAGTAAACAGGTGGCAGCTGATAAATGTGATAACATGAATTTAAAGTACAGAAATGTTCTGGAACTGGCTAGCATGAATAGAGATTTGAGTCAGATCTTACTTGATGCCTTAGAAGCAAATCCTCAAGATTACCAAATGGTAGTTGATAAAATTACACCAACTATGGCTGAAAAGAAAGCGGAAAAAGTGAGTTGATGCCACCCAGTTTAAGTATTGAGAGATTCTGTATGTATCTTTTTTAGCTATTGCAGAATCCAGTAATGATCACTAATAAACCAGATCTGCTATGTAATGCAGTAATGGGTGCAGCGACTTCATTAGGACAAGATATGTCACACCAAGAAGTATGCATTCACAATTGTTGCTCACATTGCAAGGGAGAAATACAGAATATATGACGATAAGACTGCGAAGTAGCTGCTATACTTTTTTTTATTGTTTTTTCCAATTTTCATATTAAATTGTTACTAATAAAAGAGTTACCAATGCTACGTCTACGTTTATTAATAATCACTACCTCGGAACTTTTCACTCAGACTAATTATTTTGAAACACACATGTCAGCATTTAAGGTAGGTGACATTGATTCATATCTTCTTATGTGTAAAGCTTGGTATTACCTGCCCAAGAAGTAATTTTTATGATTTGGTGAACCGGGTCAAATCTCTCCGTTATGCAGGCCACTTTGTTATACTTCCTATCATGCCCGGTGGTGTAGTATTGATAGTAACATACTGTATGTAGTGATGCTGGCGACTTGCTTTTGTTTGCTTTTTCGCTCGATCTCCTTTTTACTCACTTTTCATTGGAAATATTCACTTTTCTCACTATTTTCGTCATCTCTGTACATATTGTAGTTTGTGAACGTTTTAGAGGGAGCTGTCCTCATTCTCTCCAGCTTCATGAAATTAAATGAAACGATTTTTTTTTAATTAACTATGACAGAGCTGGCCATGTACAGGGGGGATCCAATATGTATTACAGGAGAAATTACTAGGATTTTAATTCAACTTTGCTAAAAACACTCTACCTATATGTATTCGCACTAGTGATTTCAAATTCGGAAATGGGAAGCAATACGATACAAAATTGTTTATGAAGGCAAAGTTTCGCATTTTGGTAACTGATAAAATGTGACTCATCCAATATGGCGGCCGTCGCAAAATATCGATTTATAATTTCCATAGTCACCTCCTTACAATGGATATCAAACGAAAAGGATTGATGAAAGAGATTCAGTGAGCAAAGTAACGTCATTCTAATACAATAGGGCGAACCGTTTCTTATGACAGTTGACAATGCAATATTATTATGACATGGAGGTGGTCCGATGATGAAACCAGGAAGCGGCCATAGGAACTCATCGAATAGAGCCTCGCTTTTTTCCTAATTAGAAATACGATGTGATGATGATAACTATTGTGCAAAAAAATACTCGTTTATAATAACTTATCAAATTTCAACTTTTTAACACTAGTCCGCTAAAATGTAGGATCAATCAATTGGGCAAGAATACCTAATAGGTATAAGTACGTCTCCCGTATTTACAAGAATTTGTTATATTTCTTGTTTCATGCATATGAATTATTATTTTTGCGTATGTCAATAAAGCAGTAAGAAGGACCTTATATGAGTCATTCTGTTTTTTCACATATTATTATTTATATTAACCGTTTAAATTTGGCATTATGATATTCAATTTCTCAGAAAATCAACTCACTTCTTTATGTATAAATTCACGATTTCTCACTTTTTTCTCACTACTCTTTTTGAAAATCTCGCTTTGCTCACTTCAAAAGTCAAATTCTAATAATCCTCAAAATTGTTGACAAAATCATGCTAAACCTCCCTGCGGGCGTCCTTGTGCAAAATTAATTCATATTACTTTAAAACAATTTGAAAAAAAATAAACTGCAAAGGATTAGAGCTGCTTAGATGGCAGGGGAATTGGAATTTGGGTTCGAAATTGCAATAATTATACACAAAACAATATTAATTAGGTTTTATTTCAGAAATACTGAATCTACATTTTCTATCATCAATGAATTTCAAACTTCATGTACTAACACTATCCTTTTTTCTTTTATCAAATTCTGTTAGAGTTCATTTTAGTTGGTTAGTTCGTTTTATATAGTTTTAGGTACACTTAAATCTTGTAAAAACTCACTTTTAATTATATAAATATCCTTTGCAACGTAACAATACAAATAATCCGAAACTAAGCGTTTTCTTCTAAATCAAGCAACATACCACTGCTTTCGGTACCTTTTAAATCATAGATCGTAAATTCTTTTAAATATCGCACCGAGTACAGCGCCAATCTATATAAAAAAATATATTCACTACTTATAATAACGTTCTGTGTACCGCAATATTACTGATGTACCATTCGTGAAACAGTAACCAAATTCCCAATATGTAACAGTAGAAATGTCATATAAAAACAGGTATAAACACTAGTTTTACTAATAGTTGATTGCTTCTTTAGTAAGCAAGCTATTTATCGACCTGTCAATTTAGTAAAAAGATTTAATTGAAACATGAATAACGTGATAAAAAATGCTCTTCAATCTTTTTGATTGCTGTTTCACGAGTTTTTCGGTCTTGAATAATTTCCAAGTTAAGCACTCTAATTAATTTTCCTGGAATGACGTGGCTTAAATCGGAAACATATTCTTCCGAACAGTAGTTTACTCAATAGGGAAAATCTGACATTTATGAGATTCTGTCAATGGGTCGAGAACACAACTCTTCATAATATACCAATTACATTCAAACATCGACATAAGGGGAATTCTATATTTTTCAAATTTTGTCAGATCATTTTTCTAATCCCTATTGATCGTAATTTCTTGAAAAACTGAAACATTATAATGTTTACAAATTATATAACAAATCTAACATTTAACAGTGAAAGGTTTCAATAAACGCACATTTGTATCTGTAATTTATTTCCTAAAACACGTAATTTCTCTACAATTAAGTGTCTAATTTCCTAATAAAACATTTCCCAGTTTCGTCTTTTAAAAAACGAGCAATAACAATCTTCTTATTAGGAATGCAGACCAGCTGAAGGTTAAACAAAATTAACATGAGTCATTCGCAAAGCGTTCTGTAAACTTATATTTTGAGGGCTGATCCACAGAAAATCTCGGAAAATCTCTTTGTTTTGAGTCAAAAATAAATAACATAGGAAATAAATAAACATTCGCTGATTACAAGATTATTCAAAACATGAGATAATATTCTGCAATAAATAATTATTAAATCAGGGATTAAAACATAATAAATATTACAAGTTCTGCAAAGCTACATTGGATAAAATATTTAGATACACATACAAACATTTTTTCTGAGACTTTGAAGTGCCCCAAGCCCTGTTAATTATATAAGACCTTGATATATACACATAAATGTAAATTAAACGGTAGTTTGAACAGTAAAAAATATTTGGTTATGACACGTGTGTTTATATAACGTAAGGTAACTTTGGTTAATAAAAATATGTCTACATCTGTTTGATTAAAATGCGCTACATGACAAGGGTAATGATCTCTGTCACACTCATAAAACATATACTATTGGAATTTGCTTAACATGGAATAATCAATGGGTAGCTTCATAGAAATTACGTCCCGATTTCTTAAAGATGATCACTGCAGGAAATAAAAATGTGTGGTGTTCTTGAGTAACAAGTTTTGATTGATAACTTTTTATAGCAAACAGGTATGTTTAAATAATTATTTCAGATCTTCCATTTTTTATGGTCCTACACTTTCCAAAAATGGTTTTTAACACCCTGTATCTTGAGAACATCTGTTAAATTTATAGTACATAATTAACACCCTGTTTATACAGAGCTTTTCAAATGCCCCCACTCCACTTTTTAGTTGATGGGGTCAGTACAGCAGCAAGCTGTAATTCGGAGTGATGAAAATTATTGCATGAATACTATATTTCAACGTAAGGCTGGCAGTTGAAAATTTCAAAACGGCGATTAGGCGCAATCTTTTGGTTTTTTAAATGGAAAACGCTCAACTTCGACAGTCTAACAGTCCGCCACTTTGAAAGATACTAAGTCTATACTGTAGGATTATGAAGTACTGATAAAGAGCTTTCCAATGAGGTTTCATGTGACCCCCATTACAATTAAATATATTTTCAGCTGTCACTTTTATGATTGCATTAATTCCATTACCCAGAATTTTAGTTCGATAACTCGATTTAAATAATTAGAGGAGGCCTTTTTATTAATTAAATAAATGTTATTTAGGAACATCCTTACTAACGAATCATGCACAGAAAGATCAATCAGTTAATTATATATAACATACTTTATTGAAATCTAGGATAAAATGGAAAAAAATACTGTGCACGCATTTCTATGTAGCTAGCCCTAAAACTTAAATGATCATTATTTTACCACGATGAGCACTTATAACTTGCATATTTTTTTACAATTCATCACATTAGAATTATAATAATTTTTAAGTGTGCTCTATGTAATTTTCCTCATTTTTTTTTTGAAAGTTCAAAGCAATTTACTTTCACGTATTTACAATATTTATATTGTGCGATTTTATACAGGTCGCTGGAAATAAATCCACCCATGGTTTGAACACTTTTATTTTCGCGGTAGCTTTTAAAAAAATATCTGCAGCTTCAACAGTGCGCGCCTCGTTTAAAGCTAGATATTTATATTATAGTTAAGGTGGATTCACTTCGGCGAACTGTGCTCTGCTGTCAGAGGATTTCAATTTTACGAATAATTTCAAAGTAACTAGAGTAATTCGGGTCAAGATTGAACGGTTTCACTAGAATGCACCAGCAACTGGTGGTTGCGGATAAAACCTGGAATATTTCGGAACACTGCTAGGCTATTAGATAGATAGACAATATAAAAAGGCTACCTTTTAGTTCGAAATATCATGAGACTGCTTATAATGTTAAAGTTCACATTCATGTTGTTGTTGAGGTTATAGACCTAATTGAAAATTTTAATCCGTTTCACTGGTTGGGAGAGTACAAATTACAAACATTTTGTTTTAAATGTATTGTCATTGGTCGACTTTAGATTTCAACATTCACCGAATTAGGGAATATTTGTAAGGGATGATCCCATAGGTACCTGGGGATTTATATTTCGCGCCGTTTTTCAACGTCCGATGGTTGCTAACTGGAAAAAATCATTCTCGTTTTACTTCCCTCGCATAATGGCGTATTGTAATTGCGATAAATGTCGAAAGATGAAGAAGATTGAATGTTATGTGACATGTACATCCAGAAGAACCATGTCCGTCACTCATTTCCGTCGGTCGAAAAAAAATCGCTCAAACTTGTTTTTTTTTAGATATTCCAGAAGCTCCTGACACCCCGGTAATACTTTGCACCTATTGGACATATTTCACACATCATAGATTACCCCTTACATTTGCATTTAAAATTTAGCAAGATAGAGTATTATTTCCGATACGCGACTCTGCTTCTGCTTCCTGGGTTCACCGATGGGCGTGCCAGTCTTTATGAGTATCCTTCTATGTCTGCTGTACTGCCGGTATTGAATGGACTATTTGTAGTTACTGATGAAATTGAACTGAAATTGTGCCTGAAGATTACTGAAAATTTTAGTCGAAGAATGGTCATCTGTAAAAACAGTAGGGTCATGTGGATAAAACCATAACACCTATACTGATAATATGAATAAACATGGTATTTTTTCAAAAGCGTTGTTTTGATTTGAAATACTATTTATTTAAGCCCCAAAATACCCTTTGATGACTATTATTTTTTCTTGGCAAAATTTACGGAGGCCTTTCTTTCGTGTCAAAAATTTATAATATGCGTCCACTTTTTACTGAATTCGTTGGACTTTAACAGGAAGATGACTACATTTAAACTGCAAGCAAAATTTCCGTCTCTAACATATTTTTTATATGTAAATGTGCTTACTTGCAGCTTATTTGATTGATTTAATTCTCGTTCACCTTCAATTTTGACCCGAAAAGAATAGTGGAGTATTTCCTTTGTTTAGATTACCTATGAAGTATATATCGCGGAAGCCATAACGCGAAACGTACCTTTAACGCAGCAACGGAAGTATCAATGCAGCCCTGTATACATTTGTGGATTCATATTCTTCAAGGTACATTCTACGGTTCTTTCTACAGATCGATCGACATTTTTGATTAACTGATTAGTATAGCGAGTATATTCAAAACAAATCAACTCAGTTTAGTAAACGTGACAACGCAGCAGCAGTGCTGTTTCTATGATACACTGTATGTTTCGTGCTTTTTCCGTGAAAATACCGTACACGCAAAGTTTATGGAATAAACAGAAGTTGTTCCAGAAAACCAGCCAGAGTTGCCGATGATCCAACTCATGTTTTTTCTGTAAACTTTGCCACATATAATCTGATCAAGCTAAACTGTGAGATTGGAAATTGGATTCAAATGCAACGAGTCATAGCTGTAAGGATAATGGCAGTAACCACTGTCTCGATTTTCTGAATGGTCTAGAAACGGTAATGTTCGCACCCTCTGCTTAAACCTGCCAATGATCCCTTAAGGTGGTCGTGCCCATTTTTTTAGATTTTTTCCATCTACCTCCTTGCAGCAGTATTCTAATTATCTGATAATTTTATTATGGTGTGTATAGAGATGACTAAAGAACAATGTATTAATTTTTTTTTGTAAAATCAATTCTTCAGTTGGAACTATTTAACAAATATAAGTACAGCTCTGCAATTGTGTGTGAATATTCCTCGTCTAGCAGTTTGGTTTTCAAGAAAAGCAAATATTTTTCGAAGAGAAAAAGTGATACGAATAAAAGTAATCACTTGTTTCATTCATCCATAAAAGTGGAATATTCACATACAATTTGAGAGCTGTACTAATATTTGTTAATAAGTTACGATCGAAGAAAAATTCCACAATAAAATGCACAAAAAGTGCATTTTATGAAAAAAAAAATAAAAACGATGTTTTTTCGTCATCTCTATACACATCATGAAGTAATCAGATGACAAGGATTTAGTATACTGTTGCAAACAGGTAGTTGAAAAAAGCGAAAAAAGGGCCTTAAAGAAAGATTTGATAAAAGTTGTTCCGTTTGAATCCCCTCTATGAACTGACCTTGAATAACATTGGAACAATCACTATTCACACTACTGGTTGGGGCAGAGATTTAAACAGCTGTCTACAAAAAAATCTATTCCGTTGCACGCTTAAAATTTGCGTCTGTGGCACAAATTCAACCAATGAGACCGGTTTTTTTGAAGCAATGGATAGTGTTGCCAGGTCACTAAAAATAAGATTCACCAGAAATTGGAATGAAAAATCACCAGAAGTTGATTTTTTAAGCTGTATTACTAGTTGTAAACAAAAAAAATGCATTTGTAATGTTTGCATACAACTTAATAATTAAGTTGTTTAGTAAAAAACAATTCACTATTCATTTCCTGCTACTGTGGCAAAGGCAGTAAAAGATTATCTTATTAGCACCTACCTAAGTAAGGTACAATCTGAATGCATTTTCCTTTTGTTTTTGAATGATTTTGAACTACTTTTTAATACCCAGATCAGAATTATTATGAAAAAATCCTATATTTTTTACAAATGACGAAAACCAAAACAAGAACAATGAAAATACTGTGGTGAATCCCACAATAGTTCAAGGGATATCGCAGACCGTAGTATACAAACGAGAAAAGAGTTACCGGTTCGGAAATTTAGTAATTCAAGATCCGTGAAATTTTAAAAATCACCAGAAATTGGCATTTTTCAAAGAGGTTTCACCAGACCTGGCAAGACTGGTAATGGATCTAATAGATATGGTCGGTTTTTTGTAGAATATCTCTCAAACTAGATAAAAACTATACAATTTGTGTAAGATGAGCCTAACTCTCATATCAAATTAAGAAATACTTCGTATATCACCTGATTCGACTACAAAAACTTATTTTATTTGCGCCCGAGCCAAAATTTGTGACCAATTCCACCAATCGAAAAGAAGTCACAAATTCGACAAATCAAAAATAAGCATTTGGGTCCTGCTGGAATTATGGACCAAATACGATACTATAGATTAATATGAAGGCAATTACTATTTTACTAAAAAAAAAAGTGTTACTACTCACCTGAGAGACATAATTTAAACAAATATATATTCTTAACAATTCATCAACATGTCCATTTAGGTTAGCTACAAAAACCTATTTTTCCTTTTTATAGGATAGCAAGAAGTCAGTCAAAGTAGATCATTGATTTTTGTCCTTGCCGCACAAAATTCTGCTTGCTTAATGAATTCCTTGAAGGTACGTAAAATTACAGAATGCTTATTCTTTAACAATTATCGAGTAAATATTCAAGGTGTGGTTAAAAATGGCTTCGCCGATTTATACCCCTCTTTTCATTAAATCCATTACTTTATTAACGCCTTCTTTTTGGTCGAATGACCTTAAGTATACATTTTAATTCCCGCGGATCAACAGAAAAATCGGGAGAACATATCACAACCATTCGTGTTATATTCAATGCATTAAGGGGAGTTTACACTAGCATGTAGCGCTTGCGTAAGTTTTATTTGCATCCAACTTGCAGAAAAACTTGCAAATGTAAACACTAATATGCACGAAAGCTTAACTTTCAACGCGGACTTTCAGGCATTTCTTGCTTCCGCAAATAAATTGTTTTGACAGAAATTACTTACGGAACTAATAACGTTTGCAAAATCTCCACTTAAACGCTAGCTGGACTCTCCTGTGTAAACCTGTTGCCTGCAAACAACTACTACTTGTAAACAAGTGACGAGAGTGTTTTGTCATCTTAATAAGGAATGTTGTACAGAAATTATTTTTTTACTTTTGCCTTTGGTATTTCCTCCTGAAGTTTGGCTGTTATTTACGAGACATCTTGTAAATAATAAGGACGTGAACAAATTCCTGCAGTGCTTCATATATAGCAGCACAGACATCAGGAAGAAATTTTGAAATAGTCCATTTTGGTACTCGATAAAAATACTGTAGGGAAGCAAAGGAATCTCCTGCAGCCAAATACCTTAATTTCTAACTTAATTTTTCCTGGTATGGCTACCCTCATTTTAGTATATTTTTTCTGTATGCACTGTTTCACACGATCTAACAATTCGTCAAATATACTTTTTGAAATACGGAGGACGTTTCTAGAGCCATCTTTGTCTTCTCGCGAGAATTCATCTCTAATAGTCTTGATCCTCCTGATTGCAACCTTCTTGATACCCAACTTCTTTCCCAACATGACCTTTCTTTCTCATCTTCATTTTTGATAGTATCTCGTTTGCTTCCTCAGAAAGCTAATCGCATATAACTGCAACTCTCACTACAGCCCGAGCGTCTTCTATATCTATATAATCCGTCATTTCCGCACCAGATGAATAGCTGCACTGACTGGATTTTAAACAGGTTTCCCTTGCAAAGGTAGGTATGTAGTGTAAACCTTAATTTGAATGCAAGTACAGTTTGCATCAACTTGCATGTCCTACTCACGCAAGCGCTACATGCTAGTGTAAACTCCCCTTTACGAATATACACCTCTAGTTTCAAATTCGGACAAACAAAATTTAGGTAAGAATTTTAAGATATACTTTTTTCAGAGAGGCAACAATATGGGTTTTCTTTGTAGGCAGCTATTTACTGATACTAGTCTTCCTTCAAACAGTTTGAATATACTTATCTTAACATAGAAAGTATTGATTTCATCCAAATTAATTAAATACCAACTATGAAGAAAAACTAATACCGCAGTGATTTCAAGCGATCTAGTTGCGCAGTCAAATACAGTAATTCGTACTCTTTCGGCCATCCTGAACGTGAATATAAAGTGCCTATAATTTTAAATAATTGATGAAAAAAGCACATAAAATTACCATATCATGAAATCAGTTTAGTAAGGACGTATGTTAAAAACAAATCAGTCTTACAGAAGAAAGCTTTATAAATACTGTGATATTTGCGGTAGTTACTCTTCGATACATATTTAAAATGAGTATTCTAATAAAAATATACCTAAATAAATCAGAATAATGCATGCATAGCAGTTTCTGTCGTTTATAGTGATAGAAAGTGCTAAGATAGTAAGTAAAAGTTATTTTATTCGTTAACAGTTTGCATAAGAAATAATATTGACCCCTCTGGGAAGCTTTGGAATGATGTGATAATTTTTGTGCAAAACAAACAAAGAAACTGGCAATAAAATGATATATATCTTACAAGCGAAGTTTAAAATAACAAATGTTCTGCACGCATTTCACACAGTGCGATAGAAAGGTTTGAAAACAGTGAATTTCACGTTCTAACGCTAATGTCCGGAAGATACGAGGATAGACACACTTTCTATGGACATATGTATACGTACAGTGAGTATATTGATAATTACGAGTATATTTATAGATGACAGGGTATATCTCATATTTAGACTGGATACTTAAAATATACTCTTATCCAATCTTGAAGAACCTCATGTTTAATGATTATTCTTGAAAGGAGTTTCAATATTACCTTGGTGTTAACTAAATATCAAAATTTTCGAGAGTGTATCAAAAAGTAATCAGTAGAGATGCTCTTATGATCCCAGATTTAAATTTAGTAAGATACATCTTAGTATGTGTTTGGTTAAAAATCACTGACTTATTTAATATGGCTGTGTAACTGTTGAAGTTGTTCAGAAACAACTTTAGTCAAAATACTATAAAAATTCTACGGCTGCAACTCAATTCTTTGTAATTGAATAGTGATTTTTTACCAGACTAAGTCGGGGTGTCGCTGCGTTTTATGTTATTTGATTGTATGTAGTGGGGGAAGACAACTGATGGTAGTGTAGTTGATTGCAAGTCATCAAGGGTAAGATAAATTAGTCAATATATTTACATAGAGGGATCATAATTTAGTAATTCAAGTCAAACAATCACGGAACACATATGAAATGATTTGGGTCGATAAAGTACGAAATGGAATGCCATTGGCTGCTTTCAATAGCACTCAACAGTAGAATCGTAGCGCTGCCTAGAGTATGATTCTACAAGTTATATGCATTGTTATTGATTGTCAGCTCATATAATCTATTTTTCCCGAGCTTGATCTCGTTCAAACGTCCCAAGTTTTTTTGTTTGAGATTTATCTAGCATTAATGTCCATAATATCCATATTGCACAGTATATCACAAAATATATTATGTCTACATATTTTTATACAAAATTTAACTACTGTGAATTCTGGTTTTCCATGATATTTTTTCAATTTCCCTTTGAACATTTTCAAACTGACACACATCTTGATATCATTACTTAATTTACTAAATTCGTACAATAACTTTTGAAATAATGACTTGCTCGTTATACTGCTACTGCAGTTTTGTAAATGAAAGTCTATACTTTTTCCAGTAGAATAATTGTGGCACTCATTGTTCAATACAATAAAATTTTCTAAGTGATTTGGTAGATGATTTTTTAACTTGAATATGAAAATGAAAACCAAGTAGGCTATGAAATTTTTTATTTTTGACCCTTGTAGTTCTTTCAGCATAAAAATTATCTAGTACATTTGTTTTTATATAAGATGATTTTCATAGCTTTATTTTGTAATATTTGAAATTTTGAAAATACAGTTGCATTTGCATTGAACAAAGTAGTCGAACAATATAACAAATGAGGAAGAATGATAGTGTTGTACACAATTTTTTTAGAATAAACGCTTAGGCTATGCGAAATTCCATAAGTTATTATTTTCTTTTCTTGGATATTTTTGAAATAATATATTCATAGTGCCCTTCAAATTTTAATTTACTGTCTACGTATATGCCCAAATATTTAAGTGATTCGATTGACACAATTTTTTTATGATTAATTGTAAGATTTATCGTATTTTGATCTAAAAATTTTCCTATTAGCATATATTTTGTTTTTTTGATGTGTAGTTTAAGTTTATTCACATTTAACTAATTTATTACGTTTTTCATATCATTATTTAACAGCTCTATTGCAGTACTCAATGTCTTTATTTGATATAATATATATATATATTAATGTATCTCATCAGCAAATAGGTGAATTTTGAAGTGTTGTAAAACATCAGGAATATCGTTAATATAAAAAATAAACAGTAAAAGACCTAATTTGCTACCTTGTGGCACCGAAATGTTTTAGATGCTTGATAATGTATTGCCAATTTTAGTTCTTTGACTTCCATTGATTAAATAATTTGGTAATAAGTTGAATACTGAAGCTTGAAATCCATAGTAATGTAATTTAGTTAACAATTTATCCTTGTCAATAGTCTCAAATGCTCTCTTGAAATCCAAGAACAATATTACTGTAAACTTTTTTCATCCATATTTCGCCTCCATTCTTCTACTACCATTTGATTGTGCTGTTTCAGCAGAATACTTTTTTTCTGAATCCTGCTTGAAATTTTGTGAATATCTTATTTTCTTCAATATATTCAATTACTCGCTCATATATGATTCCTTCTAAGAGTTTCTCGACATCTGGCAGTACATTAATTGGCCGCATGTTTGTATATAACTCAGAATTTTGCACTTTTGGAACAGGAGTAATTGTAGAACATTTCAATTTTGAAGGAAATTCGCCATACACTAAACAGTGATTCACTAACAATTATAACTTCTCTCCAATAATGTTGAAGCATTCCTTCATAACCATTTTTGAAAGTAAGTAACCTTTGATGATCTAGTGATATTTTCTAAATACCCCATACCAACAAATGACACTCGTCTCTGACTGATATGGTAACGTTGGATCAGAAGATAGTGGTATTCTGTTGTGACTTTTTCTTTACTGTCTAACAACGCTCTTATTTGGAAATTTTGTAAGCACAAAAATACAATGATTTTCAAAAAGTCAAATCAAATAATTGTTCGTCAGTGTTTAGTGTACAAAGTTTTAAATATGGTTCTGAGCTTCACCAAATTAATTATTTCCAACAGTTGTCACTTGTTGATTAGCTGTTGACATTCAGTAGCTGACCTAAAGCATACACTAGACCACCCTAAGAGTCAGCTGCCAAGTACTAGTAAATGCTTTATACGGCCATTCCAAAAATCATTTGATTTCATGTTGGAAAATGTGAGGCTGTGTGCCATGCCAAGATTCAACATACCACCATGCTATTTGCGATAATCCTGTTTGGCAATATGCATGGCCTAAATGAAATACAATTCCTTTTTTGTCTTAATTTTATGTCATCAATTTTTTTATACGTTTCATGTTTCAAAATCAACGTCATCCGGTCGTGTTAGGCAAGAGAAACATATCGCAAGCGATCATCGCGCGCAACACCTTAACAACATAACTAGAAAGTGAAACTTTGCTTTTATCCGCCTCACAGTCCGTACGTCCCATAAAAGGCGTGTCTTCCTCTTCATTGTCCCTCCCCCTCAGTCCGTTCGCCACGCCCTCCCCTCAGCAGATGCTATCAGCGCTGTCACTGCTGCAGCAGCCGTCGTCGTAACTGATGGCGCTGCAGTCGTGCACTTCGTCCTGGTAGTTCACGACGTTCTCGCTGGAGAGCCAGCCGCGTCTGGCGTTATGGCGGTGACGGTTGCGGCGGTGTCTACCTGCAATTGCATTGGTGCCGTAGCGTATTCAATAATATTCATAAAATTATAACTAAACGTGCTGTGGTATTGTTGCGTCTTGTAGAACTTGTAGAGGGTAGTCTGATAGATTATTTTAAATGAAAAAAAAGTGTGGATGAAGCACGCTTTTCATGCATTTTCCTCCAAAAGACGTATTTTTAGCAGTCATTTCTACCATTATTTACGTTGACGTCTGTGCATATGTCATATATGACAGGCGCTTGCCTGCGGTGTTGCCGGATTGGTCTGCGCATTTAGGGAAAATGAAAAGTGGAAAATCTATATATGTACATTTACACGTATATTAATCAATGAAACACAAAAAGGAAAAACTGAAACAAACAACAAAAATAAAAAGCGGTTCTTAATAAGTATAAAACAAAAATAACAGTAGTAAGCTAACACTATAAATTGTAAATAATTATAAAAAATAAAAAACAGCAGTGGTAAAGCAAAAAAAACAATACCACGTAATTATAAAAAACAAAAAATAAACAGTAAAATACTCGTAGAAAGCTATTCTGAGTGATAACAAAAACAAAAAGTAAAAACAGTAGTAAAATGAAAAACAATTCCATGTAATTATAAAGAAATGCTTTTTATTTTACTGTTTGTTATTTGTTTTTTATAATTACATGGAATAGTTTTTTTTCGTTTTACTACTTTTTATGTTTTATAAGTATTGACAATTTATTGTGTTTTAGCTTAATATCATTATTTTTTGTTTTATACTTATTAAGAATCGTTTTTTATTTTGCTACTGTTGTTTGTTTCAGTTTTTCGTTTTTGTGTTTCATTAATTAATATATGTATTATAAATGTTCCACTTTTCATATTTTTCCCTGAATGCGGAGCCCAATCCGGTAACATCGCGGCAAGCGCCTCTCATACATGACATATGCACAGATGTCAACGTCATATGGCCGATGGCGGTGGAAATAATGGTGAAAATAACTGCTAAAAATACAGTGTTTTGGGAAAAAATGTTTTAGACAAGACAAGACACACTTTTTTTCATTTGAAATGAAATATTGGACTACCCTCTTTAAGTATCAAGTGAAAATACAGCGAAACTCGAAGTTTTACAAGACGCAACAGTAGCCGTGCTGTGCAACATGGAAAATTTTACTCAAGTTCAAATCTCGATATTTTCTGAACGGAAAGAGATATCGAGTTGCCGTATAAGGGAGGTCCTTGACCAACTCTTTGAGAATACGTACACGGTTCGACCGGTATATTTTTTTTTTATTTATCCACTTATACAGGGCGAGCAAAGAGAGTCAGGTTTTTCAGCAAAATTTGGGACTGTCAGATTCTCAATTTTTGATCATGGAAATTTTTTTGATCTTTGGTCTATCCTAAAAAAACGATTTCTCAATTCTTGTGAAAGTCGGATATAACTCAAATTACAGAATTTTAAAGAGGTTACATTTGTCCCTAAAAAAGGGACTTATTTGAGGTTGGTTTTGAGAGTTTTTCTCATACTGTTGCATAGAAAGGAATTTCTTGCGCCCGAGAAAAAAATGAACGTTATTGCCTCCAGTGCCGTGCAGTAAAAGTTTACTACTTAGACATTATGTAATTTAAACCGAATTTATAAATTTTACTACTCTTAATACAGAGGTGTATTCCAGTTATACCAAGCGCATTTTTTTTTGGTTTGGTAAGAAGTGCTAATAACATACTGGGCAACACTGCTATTCATCTTTCATCTGGAATTTTCAATCTTCTCATTCAGCATTGGAGATGTTTTCCAAAATAGTTAATTGACTTCTAGAAATGTAGAGCAGTATTGTTTGAAATGTTGTCCCTATAAATTACAGCATTGGCTGTCTTGTTTAAAATAAAATGTTCGGTTTTCCCATTATGCATACCCCAACAGAGTAAATTACATAATGTCAAAGTGTCAAACTTTTACTGCACGCCACTGGAGGAAATAACGTTCAATGAGTATGAGTAATTCAATCTATTCTTTATGCAACAGTATAATAAAAAATACCCATTCTCAAGAAAAACCCCAAGAAAGTCTCTTTTTTATGGATAAATGTAACACTAATTTCAAAATTCGATGATTTGAGTTACAGCCGACTTTCGAAAAATTTGAGAAACGGCTTTCTTTAAAACAGTCCAAAGACCAAAAAGACGCACAAAGAAATTTCCAAAATCAAAGATTGAGAATCTGACATAGCCCCAAACTTTGCTTAAGAAACATTACTTCCTTTGCTCGCCTTGAATAAGTGGATAGATAAAAGAAATATACCGGTCGAACCTTGTACGTGTTCTCAAAGAGTTGATCGAGAAATGGGTAAAATGTTGCAAAGCAACTGTCCTCCTCGTCAAATTATAACTAATTCTTCAAATCTACCGTCCGACGACATTCTCACTCGAGGCGTATAAAAATAAACTTTACAAAACATAATCAGATAACTGGCTACAAATTGACTATTAAATTTCTATAAATTAATTGGCCAGACATTGGATATTAATTGGCTACAAATTAGTTTGCTAGAAACTGTCAACAAATTGGCTACAAATCAGTTGGTCAGAAACTGGCTGCAAATTAATTGGCTGTAAATAGATACGAATTAATTGGCTACAAACTAATTGGCTGTAAATGGCTACAGGTTAACTGGCTACAAATTAATTTGCTATAAATGGCAACAAATTAATTGATCAGACAATGGCTACAAATTAACTGGCCAGAAATTGGCTACACATTAATTGGCTGCAACTGGCTACAAATTGGCTATAAATTAATTGGCTGCAAAATAACTAGATATGAACTAATTGGCTACAATTTCAATGGTCAGACACTGACTACACATTAATTGGCTGCAAATGGCTACAAATTGATTCGCTGCAAATTGGCTACAAATTAATTTGCTATAAATGGCAACAAATTAATTGGTCATACATTGACTACAAATTAATTGTCCAGAAATTGGCTGCAACTGGCTATAAATTAATTGGCTACAAAATAACTGGATACGGTTTAATTGGCTACAAATTAAATGGTCAGACATTGACTACACATTAATTGGCTACAAATTAATTGGCCTGAAATTGGCTACAGATTAATTGGCTGCAACTGGCTAAAAATTGGCTATAAATTAATTGGCTGCAAAATAACTGGATACGAATTAATTGGCTACAAATTAAATGGTCAGACATCGACTACACATTAATCGGCTACAAATTAACTGGCTGTAAATGGCTACAAATTGATTCGCTGCAAATTCGCTTCAAGTTAATTGGCTACAAATTAATTTGCTATAAATGAAAACAAATTAATTGGTCAGACATTGACTACAAATTAATTGGCCGGAAATTGGCTACAGATTAATTGGCTGCAACTGGCTACAAATTGGCTATAAATTAATTGGCTGGAAAATAACTGGATACGAAATAATAGGCTAGAAATGAGATGTCAACAAACTGGCTACAAATCAATTGGATATAAGTCCTTAGATAACGATATCCTTGCTACAGATTTCACAAAAAAAAATCGGGAATGAGGGCAGCTCTCTGATTATCAGTGTGCATGCAAATCTCATATTTGAGCAGATTTCAGACCCTGAAGAAACTTTCAGTTTTGATATTTCGCAAGTTTATTTGGAAAACTCTTAGAGCGGGTGTATTTGATGTCGTCGGACGGATTGATGAAAATAGCTGACAAGATATTGTCAATTTGACAATTTTGTTGAGTTCTACCAACACATTTGTAGGTTTCGCCGATTTTTTCAATTTTGTCGTCTCTCATTGTAACTAGCTTTGATTAATTTACAATTGAATAATGTACAAAGAGAATTACGGGATATGGGCGTAAAGAGTTGTATTTACCTCGAGGCATCGAGTTAGACCCGCCGTAACAGCCCGCCTGCGTCTGCGGTCAGTAGACCCACGCGACGGGCACCCATTGGGGCTGCGTGCGCGCCTTCTCGATGGCGGCCTCCAATTGGGCGATCGTCTCGTCGATGTCGTTGTTCACTATCGTCAAGTCGAAATAGTGACCGTACGCGTGACGCATCAGCTCACTTTCTTTTGCTAAACGCTCTAAACTGCCGTCGTACTGAAACAGAAACAAACAATACAACTTAATTATACAGGATTCGCTTATCATTTGTTACGTAATTTCGGTTAGTATCCTCTCACGTTCATTTGAAAACTTCCCAACGCGGATTTAACGAAAACCACTGATTGAAAGAAAAAACACCAAGGACACGTCAAAAGATTTGTCAAGGGGGACAACTTTTTAACCAAAAACTACTTCACTCCCTCTCACTCTCTACCCCCAGGGTCATCCCCTTAAAATTTTTTAATGATAATGGGTATCGAGTAATACCTTGTTTGAAAGGTCTTTCGAAGTCCTATATTTTGACGTTTGATTTTTTAAAATCGGTCGAATCATTTTCAAGAAAATTAGAAAAATCTTTATTTATCTTAATTTGCTCAGATATAAAACAAAACACGAAAATATCACTTTTTATTTTAATAAGTGTTCACAATGTTGCTCGTTACTAGCAAAACAATGATATAGGTGATGTTCATATTCCTGACGGACATTTTCAAAAATATCTTGTGGGATATCATGGCAGCTGCCCATGATGCGCTGACGAAGTTCATCCAAACTTTCAGGTTGGGGAGTAAACACAATAGATTTTAAATGGCCCCATAGAAAAAAGTGAAATGGCGTCAAATGAATTGCTGTTTATGTTGGTAGTTCCCTTTTTAAATTATAAACGAATTGTAGATTTGGCAAACCCTAACGGGTAACGTTTCAAGACTTATTGAAAAAAAATCTGATTTTCGTGTGTTTTTGTTTACTATCTGAACAAATTAAGATAAGTGGAGATTTTTCTAATTTTCTCGAAAACCAATCGACTGATTTTAAAAAATCAAACATAAAAATAAATGACTTCAAAAGACCTTCTAAACAAGCTACTACTTGATACCCCTTGTCATTTAAAATTTTTAAGGGAATGAGCCTGGGGGGCTGAAGGTGAAAGGGGGTGAAGTAGTTTTTGGTTAAAAAGTTGTCCCCCTTGACAAATCTTTAGACGTGTCTCGGCGTTTTTTCTTTTAATCAGTGGTTTTCGATAAATCCGTGGTGGGACTTTTTCAAATGAACATCCTGTATATATGATTTGATTTGGCACAATATTTCTATAATTGGTTCGTACTATACATACATATTCGAGGTATGTCTTGCAACCGATATTGGATTTCAATATTGAGTCAATAAAGAATAGGTGTCCTGCTTTAATACTGGAAATCAACTTTGAACCAATATTTTTATCATTGATTGGGACTATTGCCTATTGGCAAAATATGACATTCAACCAATATTGAAAATTGATGTTGAGCCAATATAAAAAGTATTGCTTTAATAATGTAAATAAACATTCAAACAATATTGTCATAATTGATTAGGAAAATATACAAATTCTCGTGCAACCAATATTGAATTGTAATACCGAGCCAATAAAGAAAAGCCATATTGGTTTGACATTGAAAATCAATATTGTACCAATATATCCAAATGTTCATATTTTTATTTTTTTCTTGCACCAATATTGTAAAATGAGCTTGGGCCAATGTACCCGGTATATTGTTCCTATATTGGGACAATATACGTGTGGTTCTTGGGATTGGTGTATGAATAGTTCCCTGGCTAACATTTTGATCTCTGATCAAGTTAAGAGTTTCAGTTTTGGGTAACTGCCCAACTAAGCTGAAGATATTCTTGCGACTTTCAAGTTCGTATGACATTTTGAACTTAATTATTGAAACAATTAATTACAATCCACCTGCTTCATGGTAACTAAATCAAACATAAAAAACACGTAGGAATTTCAAGACAAACCTTTTTCATACATTATTACAAGGCGACCAAGTATGCGTTAGCATGGAAGGTATAGTAGACGACAACGATATTGTATTCGTTTATATATTTTTCTGTTTCCTTGTATTACCGACCCGCCATATAGTACGTTCATTATATGTTACGGTATAAATAATAATGAAATCTGGTTCATCTGTATAAATTATACATTTGAGCAATATACAATAACCTAAAAAGCTCTAATAGTTCGATACAATTGGTTTGAATGTAGCAAATCTAAAAAATCTTATTGTTTCGATACTGTCATAGCAACAAGTTCAAAAAAAGGGGACTGCGTTATGAAGACCTGCTCCCGAGCTCCGCACGCAGGTGAATCCAGCGCGATGCAACAGAGCGGTACTCGGGAATATAATTTCAGTCCTATGCAGACAATCGAGATTGACGGACGATGTCTTAAATAATAATTATGTGCGATACGAATTTTTTCCGCCCTTTGGTTTCTGGAAGAAGGCTCATCATTATAGCAAATTATGTAACTTTAAATTTTTGACATCGCTACCATCAGATATACATACTTCGTATGAATTTTTAACTGATGTTTGAAAATTCTCAGATCCGTCTCTGTCCGATTCTCGGTTTTTTAGCTATCGGCAAAAATGTAAACGAATACAATATCGTTGTCGTCTACTATACTGTCGCTTCCAGAAAAGCGCTGGTAAATTGCTAGAAACGTAACACTTGCAGGCATATTATCTCACACTAATCAGTACAATACTTACATCGGCAATGTTCTGCAATGTAGGCGCAGCAATAAAAACAACAAACGGCGCAAATTCAGCCGTTCTGAGCACCTTGAGCGCCTGTGGTTCCACATCCAAGATGGCCATCTTGCCTTCCTGGTGGATACGTCGGATCGTGTCCAGCTTGGTACCGTACATCGCCTCCTCGTGAGTGCCGTACTCGAGGTACTCATTCGCGGCGATGTCCGACATCATCTCGTCATGGGACACGAAAAAGTAGTTGCGGCCGTTTTCTTCGTCTGAGCGAGGTTGCCGCGTCGTGTCTGTGGGAATGAAATTATCATATTACCAACCAATCAAAGGAATATCAAAGCTACCCTCCAATCGAAACATCTAGAGTCAGTTTTATAGATTTGAGTTGCGTTTGAAGTAATACTCATCAGAAAACATGAAGCGAAACGCTTCTTAGAGGAATATTCAGTGGATATGTTATACAGTACCTAGGTAATACTATATAGAATACCTAAAACGTGAGGGTAATGTATGAAATATTATTGGTTTTATACTTTGCCTAGGTATTCTTTACAGTACCGAATGCGCAGTCGGTAATGTATGTAAAAAACGAGAGCAAGGAACGGGTTTCGCTCAAGTTGAAGGGGTGTCTTCCAGCAATATCAGCTACAAAACAGCTACAAGGCAGCAACAAAACAAAAGTAGAAAAGTGTGAATGACAATGCCTTCCCACGCTGAAGGTTAAAATCCCATAAGAAAATGGACGGTGTAGCACCCAAACTAAAACAACTAAACGTAAGGGTACTACTCCATAAAGGGTCAAATATTCCATTTTATAGGTATGCCGGTTAACATTGATAAATTTAGACCAAGACCTATTTATTTTAGACATTGCCGGTGGAGCAGTAGGACCTTTATACAATCCAAAGGAATTGTATTCATTACCTAGGTAAAGTATGTAATGGATAATGATACTCAGAATATTCCATATATTGCCTGAGCAACCCAGGTATTCTATACATTGCCTAGGTATTGCGTGGAATCCTGAATTATACAGATTACCGGTAACAGATACATTTGGGAATGTTTGTTTTTTTGCGTGTATAGATGCCAAGATATGTATTTTTGTATTTTGCTATCGTAAAGGACTTGAACATTCAGGCAAAAGAAATAGATATACTTCATAGGCAGAATATTCAGTACTAATTTTCTCGCATATCAAATATCCCTGATTCTATACACCAGACCAATGCACATAATCATTCAGATGCTATCTTGCTACCCAACCAACTTTCTTTCTTTCGTATCTTCTCAGAGATAAGCGCTGCAGACTACTCGGCTTCACAAAACATATAGGTACTTGTTTTCTGCAACCAACAATGCATGTATGTAGTTGAGTCATTCCTCCATAGATGGACGCTCACAGCGATTATAGCGAGCAAACGTGGAATGAACTATTTGCACCCTAAAAACTACCTAGTCTGCAAGATGACATTTTTTTTTGAAGTTTTATAGTAATAATAATAGCCTTACTTTCCAGTACCCGGTAATACGCGTTACTTTCATTAGATGTACCCAGTACTTCTATGTACTTGTATATCCATGCTCGGTGCTGAAGTAACGACAATGAAAAAATACGTCATTACGTCAAACGTGATAGCAAAAAACGGTTGACCATCTAGTAACACTCAAAATGTGACACTCAACTCTGACAGATCTGTCATCGCCAGATTATGCTTTCTACCATCACTATTATTTAGAAAATGTTCTAAGCAAAAAAGAAAAACGATTCAAGCATTATGGAAGTAAAACAAAAATAAAAAAATCAGCAGTGCGTGTTCTGAAACGGGTCCCGAGTTTCGTTCACTCGTTGCCAATAGTACAGACTTTAATATAAAAATATTATTTGCTTATAAGCTGTCCACCTCTATAGACGTCACAACCTAATGAAGTATCGCGAAAAATAGTGAAACGCCCCCTGGAAGAACCAGGTACCTTCGTAAGATCGACGCTTAGGCAACCAATTATGCAACCAAAATACGTGAGCGTTCGCGGCGGCATCGAAAGCGTACGAGACTCATAGGGAAGTACCTGCCACCATCGAAAAACGTCTGGCAAGCTGCGATGTAAGCTCGCGTTCTGTCTGGAAGGCTCTGGATTTGAAATAAATAAGCGCTACAACGGCAGAACAGCAGAGTCGACGACGAGTCAGCATTAGTGCAAAACGCGATAGTCCAGTCGACATGGATATAAATTTGTAATAAATCAGTTGCAAGTGTTATGAATTAGAGTCCGACTAAGTAGACTTTGAATAGTAAAACCAGTATTTTCGTTAAAATAGTACGACTATATCGATCTGTCCTCTGCCAGTACGATCGAATATCCTCTAGGAATAAGCCCATCTTACACATTCCGCGGCAGGGCCCCCAAGTATACAGGTTGTTCCTTAATGATATGCGAATATTTAAGGGCATGAATCTACATGAAAAATTAATGTTAGTTTGCTTTATAAACTATGGTCTAAAAATGTCTCCTTACAAAAACTCGGGGTGTTGAAGTTTAAGGAAAAAAATGGAAATTAATTAATATTTTCAGAAGCGCTTCAGATATTTCACTGATATTTAGTACGTAATACGAAAGTTAATAAAGTTGCATATTTTTCATTGCAAAAATAATTTTTAGCTTTAACAGTGGCGCGCGTACGGGTATTGACTTCGATATTTTTTAAGAACAAAAAGGCAGGCCAATGGTTTTTCGCCAAATAAAAATTATTTTTGAATTCCCCGTTCAATTTAAAACAAATGATCTCTCTTGAATTGTTTTCCTTGGATGCGGCCATTTATGAGTAAAAAAATAAAAACCGTTCTATTGTCTAACTTGCAAAATTATTATTAATTTAATTCGAAAAATTAAACACATTAGGGGTAAATGAACAAGAACAATTAACAACATAAACATAACATTAAAACCAACGAAATGATAACAAACATTGTTGAAAATGGCCCCGCCCCCTCCACTTAGTATGCATGCTTCCGCCCTCCTCATGGAATTGCACACTCATTGAAATATCCCTGGAGTGTTTTTTATTCTATCACAAGCTGCAAATATTATTTCTCTTAATTCCTCTACAGTGTTAATGGGACTTGTGTACACTAGTGTCTTAAGATAGCCCCACAAAAACTGTGAGGTCTGGGGACCTTGGTGGCCATTCTTGGGGCCCACCCATTTATATATATTTTTATTTGGCAAAAAACCATTGGCGTACCATTTTTAAACGCCATTGTTAAAGCTACAAATCCAAATGTATTACTGAACTAAGCGATATTATCGCCCCGCATCAATTAGTTAACAGAAGGCTGAGCGTACCCTACGGAGTCGCAAATAGACATAAAATATTACTTACGCGGTATGGGATAGGCGTACTGGTCAGGATGTTTGGCTATAAGCGTGTTCTTTATGTGTCTCCTTCCGACGCCGTGAGCACCTAGCAGGACTAATGTCTTCCTCTGGAACGCTGGATCAGACACTATAAGATTAATGGACCATTCACGGATACACAACACACAGAGAGGATTTGGAAAATTCCGTGTCTATAATCTAACAGTGAAAGCGGAAACCGTGCAGACACAAGAAAAGCCTGCTAGATCTAGATGAAATGTTTTAACTGTTTTGTGAAGGATTAATGGATGCGATCTATCTAAATGTTCTAGAAAAGTATAAAAGCAAACAAGCGTGGTGTGGCCATTAAGTTCCAGGAATTCAGTTCAACTCGTGAACAACACTTTTTGTTTCATTTTATGTGTATTTTTGGAAAGGGTAGGTACTTCCAATCGTGGAAGCAACGACGGAATTTGCGAAGAGTTAAATAGATACCAAGAAGTAGTTATATTATGAGGAGACACTTCGTGGAGTACGTTTATAATTCACCGGTCGGCCTCATTGAAATCGGGAGTCGTTTACATTATAGTACGGAAGAAATTTGTTGTTACATCATCGCGTACTGATATGATACGATAAAAACTAGTCACATAGTCAAGCATCAAATTATCTCAGATTTGACTAATTTTTAAGATTGCATATCAGTATGAGATGTAACCAAAACTTTGCTGTTGGCTCTTGGACTAATACTGTGATCTATGAGCTACCGAAGCGGTGTTGCCACGCTTTCATAAAATATTTATAAAACACTACATCTATACTAAGTCAGAATGTGGTTCAAAGCTCTTTTCTCTTTCTAGATGACTCGCGATCATGGCAAATAGACCGACAATTGATCAAATAAGCAATTTGAGGTTAAAAAACTTTTAAATTTCAAGCTGACGTACTTACTTTATTACTACACTAGCCGTGTAGTATTCCGCGAAGGGTACTAACAGCTAAGTAGCAATGTGATAACTTACAGTTTTTGAGAATAGCTTCTCTCGCGAAAAGTGTGATTTATAACCTTATTGAATGAAAAATATGTTTCGAAGGTTGCAAATGGTTGATAAATTCCCTTCCCAACGCATAAATGTCCTACTTAAAGTAAATTTGAACACTCCAAGTGGTGGTCAATGAATTCATCGAAAAAGGACTATCTTAGTCTAATCATATCAGCAAATTTCCCCGAAATAATTGTTAAGTCTCGTTTTATTGGTGCAGATTGTTCAAGGGGGTATTTGAAACATGGACGCATAAAATGGGTACACCAATTTTTGCGGGAAAACTTTTTATTTGACAACAAAGAATGAGATGACGTGTTTTTTGGGATTCAATCGATAGTGTTGGCAGGGACGGAAACTCTTCATATAAGATTTTTAGATATTTATGAAACCTACAAAATAAGACCACATGTAAAAAGATCAGACTAATAGCAAAAATGTTATGGCCGAAAAACGAGGCGAAATGCAGGTTTTGGCAATTGTTGGTAAGGCAACTATATTTTCACCCAACTACTTGAAATTCTTCAAATCCGGAGAATTCATACTTCTAAATAACAATAAAAAAATTGAAGTTTATTGGTCAAGTAGTTTTTTGAGAATTTCTAATTGTTTATCCCACAATAGCTGTTTTCCGGCCATCACTACTAGTTTGTTGAGCAATATACAGGGTTCGTTCAAAGATCATTTAATAGCAAAATACACGTGTTTACCTTGCCGATATGAATCACAAACCATTCCGAAAGATAAATGTTATTTTTATGCGAAAAAGAAAGGTTACGTTTTTTCTTCTAAACAAATTCAACATTTCGTATTTGTGAGTAACTGAACAAACGATATTCGGAAAACGTACGTTACTATACAAATTTTAAAACAAAGTGTATGTGACTACCATCTTTTGTTGCGAATTACTCACAAATACGATTTGTTCAGAAGAAAAAACGTAACCCATCCTTTTTTATAAAAATAACATTTATCTCACCGGAATGGTTTGCGATTCATATCGACAAGATAAACTAGTGTATTTTGCTATAAAATTCCCTTTGAACTTACCCTGTATATTGCTCAATAAACTTGTAGTAATGGCCGGAAAAGCGGTGTTTTGGTATAAACAATTAGAAATTCTCAAAAACCACTTGATCAATCTACTCCAATTTTGTTGTGATTATTTAAAAGTACGAATCCTACGAATTTGAAGAATTTCAAATATCTGCAAGAAACCATCGTCGCATTACCAACAAGTGCCAAAACATGCAGTTTGCCTCTGTTTTCGGTCATAACTTTTTTGCTATTAGTCGGACCTTTTTACGTGTGGTCTCATTTTGTAGGTTTCATAAATACCTTAAAATCTTGTATGAAGAGTTTTTTAGTTCCTGCCAACACTTCCGATTGAATCTAAAAAAAAAACACGTTTCCTCATTCTTTGTACGAGGGGTACTTTTGACTAACATGATTAGATCTGACAACAACGCATTTATTTCCAACTGAATGAGGACAGCCTGATTTAAAGGCCTTTAGCTGTTTTGTCGGCGCCATGTTTTTGGAGTCATCTCTTGACTCTCTCTAATTTTATTCGGCGTGTCAGTCTTCTCTTTATACAACTACTATTCGGAGAGACTGCAGTAAAAATCAATGATAAAAATGTATGCTTTGTACAAAAATTCAAGACTCATTTCGATATTCGGTCAAGTATCTAAAGCCGCGTACAGACCGAACTTCCAACGCAAGCCAAGGCACATGTGGTTACAGATTTGGAGGTATTCGAATCGGTGTGTATAATATTAATAAACTATCAATAGTTTTTACCTGATGTTGTCTAGGTCTCATTTTTATCATCAAACACATCAATGTTTGCGTAAATGACACTGATTAATTGATCGTATAACCTACATATATTGAATCGGCTATTTGAGCAAAACAGACACCAGGTACACTGTAAGTACGAGCATTTAGATAAAAAACATGTTTTGTCAAATTATGTGTAAGCTGATCTCACGATTCTCCAAAAATGCGCATCAAGAATGATTTTCGGGTTTTTCTCATAAGGGCATCTTAATTTTTCCGAAAAACACGTTGCTAAGAATTATTTTAACAAGAAGCCTACTGGTGGCAACAAAAATCCGAGTCGAGGACGAGGATTTTTGCATCTGCACGAATGTTTTTTGTTAAAAAAATATTACTTTACATTGTGTTTTTTCACAGGAAAAAATTAGATGCCCGAACGGTATTTGACAATTCTATTTCGTATCAGATTATTCTGTATACTTTTCTGGTGTCCTAGGAGACCATAATTACTTGTTATCCAAGGTATTGTAGATTTTGCTGACAACAGGTGTGAAGTTTTGCCTCGGGTAAAAAATGCGCGTTTGTGATTGGTAGATATTAAGACGAGAGAAATAGTCAGACACAAACCACTTTTCGCCAGATAGATTTATTACAACCTTTGTAGAATATATGGAAATACTTGATCAACTCTGCTTAGCTAGCGCCACAAAGTCAGGATATACAATTAAAAAATACGCACCGGCAGATATACAACGTTCGGAGCTAAATTACGGTCTAGCAACTTTTTCCCGATTTACGGAACAGTGGCGGGCGTATGATCGCTCTCCCATATGTGTATAGTAGACGACAACGATATTGTATTCGTTTACCTTTTTTCTGCTTCCTTGTGTTACCGACTCGCCCTATAGTACGGTCATTATATGATACGGTTCATCTGTATAAATTATACATTTGAGCAATGTGCAATAACCTAAAAGCCCTAAAAGTTTGATACAATTGGTTTGAATGTAGCGAATCTAAAGAATCGCATTGTTTTGATACTGTCATAGCAACAAATTCACATGATGTGAAGACTCGAACCCAACTGCTCAATTTTCTTTCTTAGAAGACAGCGGCCCACTTGACCGCAAGGATGAAATATGAGAGAATCGGATTTCGGTCTTAAATTTTTGTACAAAGCATATGCGAGACTTATTTCTTTGCTTTTGCATTGAAAAATTCTCGGAACTCAATTGCCACCCTACATACACCAAATTATCAAACAAATTCCAAACCAGTCATTGTGTGTATTGTGTGTTGAAACATAAAGAAAAAAATCACAACCAGCAAACATGGCGATACTGCTGCGACAGTGTCACCGTACAAAAACACTACCAAATAAATTCCAGCGAGACAACTGTTATTTTTTAAAGTGACGCTGGATTAAAAAAAAATATCTCATTTAAAACCTGGACACATTCAGGTAACGATAGCGCAGTATGACAATAGCTGTATGAGTTACACAAACCAAGATATTAAGCAACGCAGCTACAGCTCTACTTCAGCGCTACCACTACTTCGACAACTGTATACTTACTTGGTAACTTGACAACTTCTTCGTATGTAACTAAATCTAATTGGTCAAACACAGCGTTGTGTTTTGCCAAATACTTGTCTTTGTATTGTTTCTTTTTCCTCCCGAATATTGAGCAATTGACTGAAACAGAAAAATAATATTCCGCTATCATCCACAATCTAGAAAATTCCAGAAACTAAATCTATCCGCTTGATTAATTTTTATCACTTGCGTATATTTATGTTTTAGAAGCAAAGAAAAATATTCAAGGATAACTTAATATTCGATAAGGTCTATCTTTAACCCATTGATTAACGTATTCTACCTGACGCCATAAATGAGACAGCATAACAACACAAAAATGTATTTCGAAATCTTCTTTGAAGATATCTAAGAGTGTTTGGTTCTGCTACGGTCTGACAGATGGCGCTAGGATCTTCAATCCCTTTTTGCCCTCTCTAATGCGAATTTGAATTGAGCATCTTCAGGGTTAATAAGTTAATCAATGCCTGACGATACTCAATTGAATTAGGTATTTGAGAGGCTAAAATGAACTTGAAGATTATTGCGCCATCTATGAGATAGTAGCAGAACCAAATACTGAACTCTTTTCGAGTAGGTCTCTGAATCCATTTTTCTGTTTTGCTACTGTCCCACAGATGGCGCTAGTATCTTTTAGATCTGTTTTTGGACGCGCGAATACAGAATCTTCAGTTAGAATACGTTAATCAATGTATAACTCAAAATTCACGTTTTAGTTTATAAAAAGGTTCAACAAATCAATGTCTATACATATCGTAAATACCTGGCTGATTTAATTAAAAGCTCACTAAGAAAAGCGAAAAGTTATCCTTGAAGTCCCTTTTCTTGCTTCCGATCTTAACATACCATCTTAGTGCTGAATTGTTTTTTATAAAAGGTAGAAGCCATGCGACTTGTAGCTAAAATAACCCAGCAGATCACAAAATGTCAAGCAAAAGTATACAGAAAACATCATGAAGCATTACATGCTAAGTCAGCTCCCTTGGAAATATGTTTATCAAACAGTTTTCAAGTAACGATAAACTGAACATACAAGTGTGAATTTCGGTCAATAGCAAACAGAGCGCTAAGAAAGCATTGGTTTTGCAACAGAGCAATGATAAATATCAACAGCAAACTTTTAGAAATGGATTCTTTAGTAGAACAAAGATCTGTAAAGCGAGTAGACACGGTGAAATTACAACCGTTGGAATTCTGAACGAAAATATTTTGATTTTATTTCTAAGAAGCGAAGTACTATTTTAACTGCTAGTGAATGAGCAAAGCAGAAAAAGCAGTGGCGTAAAGTAGAATTATTTTTTTCCTCATCAAGCGCAAATCTCGTCAACGTCTTATGTTGATTATGGCAAAGAACTGAGTCTTGACTAAAATCTCTACAATTACACGAGAAGAAAATTCTCTCATTTTTTCGTAGATGAAGGAAAGATGTTAAAGTTATAAATGGCTATTCTGTTGATCGACAACATGCCATTCTGTGTGCAGAATTTGCAGCAAAGCACACTACAGCTCTAAAGCATATCCATATGCTCTACAACAGTACATAACACACAGTACCTGTCGTACCATCACAACCGTTAGCATGAGAGGAACATCCTTTTTCCACGTCTTTGCATTCAACAAAAACACAAGTCACACCAAATACTTTTTAAAATTTCATTATTAGTTTATTTACACTTAAAATTTTAATGAACCATTATAGATGAACAATCAATGTTTTTGAGGTTAGAAAGTATGTCAACAATACCGCATACGATCGCAGCTCTGATTCGCAATAGCCCAGGAATATTTCTGCTAAAAAACGCCGGATGAGATTTTTGAAGCAGAACGAGCCTAACATTCCTGGACTACACCGAATTGGAATTTTTTATGTTTGGGACTGTCTTAAAAATTTTAAATTATGGATACTATTGATTTTATCATCTACAATGAGTCCTTGGTTATATGCTGTGCCAATTAATGCTTTTAGAATTTCTTGCGGTTTAAAGCGCCAAAATTAATCTCATCTAATTAGTAAATATCTGCTGATAATCCAAATACGATATAAAGTTTGTATAAAATGTAGCATTTTAGTTCTATCATAGATCGACAATGAGAATTTTGCTTACATTTGATTTTCGAGATGAAAAACAAAAAAAAAATATACATGAATTTGGATTACCATTTTGAAGAAAACTTGAACACATTGTCTTCAAATTAAAATGCATAAAGAATCAGCCATATGAATGAACGTTTTGGCAAGAATTAAAACCACATTTTAACTTTTTTTTATTTTACAATGTTACATAGGTACTTCAGGTACATGCTACACACAAAGAAATGCAGGATTAATTTTTGTGTGCAAGCAATCTTAGAACTTAAACTTTGTTTTATTCTAGATACTACTTCATTTCAAGTTTGGAAAATAGAAAGTCATTAACACTAAACTTTCCCTCGAGTTTATTTCACTGTTTGGGGAATTTATTTTTCTAATGATTGGCTGTCAGTAGTGATATAAAAACAATTTGTGCTATGTTCATTGATTTCCCATAAAGGCTATCATAAAATCTCTCAAATCGTTGTTGAAAGATTGCTTGCATTTATACTCATATTATTCGAATAAAGGTTTTCTCGGTAGTACAGTTATAGAAGAAAGAAAAATAAAGTATATTTTCTGAACTGCTGGTATTACATGTCAAAATGCACAGTGTGGAGCATGAAAACCGTTTGAATTGGTTCATTGCTTTTGTAGGAGAAACATTCGGGTAAGTAGTAAAATTTTTATTGGAAAAGTTGAATGCGAATCGTAAAAGCCCTGAACTAGATGACGATATTTGTTCAGTGCAGTATAAGTGTGTGTCTAACTAATTCCAACATACCATTCCAACTTGGAATATATTCCATTATAGAAATGTACTTTCTGGAATAGAGCCATGTAATTTTGGATGCAGTCGAAAATTCAATTAAGAGATATGGGGAAAATCACTGAGGAATATCAAAAGGCTTACATTAGGCTAGTTAGTGATTCAGATTTCCTGCGCAACCATGAGAGTGGTGGAAAAAAATGTGCGCGGCATGGGGGTAATTTTTTGATCATTTTTAGAGGTCACACAGTACAGTGTGTCACAGAATTAGATTACAATTCCTCCGATGCATATAGGTGGAACATAAAAAATAATGCCACAAGAGTTCATTTAAAAAAATGGCGTCAAGTAGCTTAACTATGCATTCAGCACGCATAGCTGTTATCAGTTATAAAAGAATTTTTTCGACACTTTACGTCGCAAATTCTTTTCGATAGGTCAGATTTCCGTCTAGGTTGTAAATTTTGACTCCCCCGGGTAACTAGTAGAATCGTGCTTAAAAGTAATAAAGGGTCCAAGGATCAGCAGATATACAGATAGACAGACAGATAGACGGAGGTTTTTCGTGATGTACCTGGCATATAACATTAAAAAATCAAAAGCATTTTCAATTTTTTTGTGACAAAAATGGTTCCTCTCCTGTTAGTGTGGGAAGCAAAAATATTTAAAAGACTACCTTTCGGAGATACATTGTCACTAAAATCAAGTAATCAAGTAATTGAGGAATATAGATCGCCACTGACGGACTAGCCCTAGTCCTCAATCATTAACTATTCGTGATTGATCGTTAACTATTCGTTAGCGATCGTTAACTATTCGTTATCGATCTTTAACTATTCGTCATCGATACCGAATAGTTAATAATCGATTACGAATAGTTAACGATCGATTGCGAATAGTTAACGATATATTACGAATAGTTAATGATCTATTACGAATAGTTAATGATTGACGACGAATAGTTAATAACCTATTACGAATAGTTAATGATTGCCGACGAATAGTTAATGATCGAGTACGAATAGTTAATGATCGATAACGAATAGTTAATGAGCGCTAACGAAAAGTTAATGATCGCTAACGAATAGTTAATAATAGATTACGAATAGTTTATAATCTATTAGCTATTCATTGTCAATTATTAGATATACGTTATCGATTATTAACTATTCGTTATCGAGCATTGGTTATCGATCTTAAACTATTCGTAATCAAGTATTAACTATTCGTAATCGATTATTAACTAATCGTAATCGATCATTAACTATTCGTTATCGATCTTAAACTATTCGTTATCTATTATTAACTATTCGATCGATTTTCCCCAAAAATGTAGTAGTAGTAGTAGTATTAGTAGTATTCGAAGCTATTTCTTCCTTTTCAGTATATGTATGGTATTTTCTATAATAACTGTATCTGTTGAGAAACTTGTGATAAATAAATAATTAGTGTTGTCTGTTGTTTTAGATGCCTCGCCGGTGTTGTGTTCCTAGTTGTAAGGGCAACTATGATACCACTTTGGAAGTTGAGGATCCTGTCTCTACATTTGCATTCCCAAAGGATGAAGATCTGCTGGAAAAATGGCTCCGAGCCATACCAAGAAAAGACTGGATGCCTACAAAAGCTAGTGCAGTATGTGCCAACCACTTTTGTGACAGTGATATTGTGCGGTTCAGTGAATTCAGTTTACCCAATGGACAAATAAACAAAGTACCTTTGAAATACCCTAAATTGAACAAGAACGCTGTTCCATGTAAGTTTTTTAATCTGCCAAAATATCTTTCACTACAAACAAAAGCTAAAAGGACTGACCCTGAAAAAAGAAGAGAAATCATGATCCTAAGGCAAGAAGAGGAAGTTGAAAACTGTTTGAAAAAGGACATTATATCTTCTTTCCCTGATTTGAAAAGGAATTTTGAAAAAAAATGTAAGTCTACCTGGAAATATAAATTAAATGACAACAACTTATATTTTTACAACTTAACCATTTATGAATGCTTAACAGTTAATAATACAATCAGAATTGATGAGTCCTTACAAGCCAACGTTTTCTTAAGAGGAAATGAATCATCAGCAAATGACCTAAAATGGATTTTGCCAAGTAATTTAAAATAAGAGAGGTGGTTACATCTGAACAATATATTATCTCGATATAGCTCAATAAATCACATGGATCACATTCAATAATCGACTTGCTCAATAGAGTAATAGAATTAATATCAAAAGCTATGACAAATGTGAAGATGAAACATTTTCTTA